AACTCCCCTTTAGACACGAATACAAAAAATGCACACAAGCACCCATACACACTGGGGACCTATATCTGGCCCACCTATATCCTTAGGCCTTCATTTCATACCCGATGTCACACAGGCAGACCCCCTGGGTGATTATCTTGGCTCATCTAACTGCAATCTCTTTTTTGACTTCCCTTTATATCTCATGAGCCGCTCCTTTGTGATGCCTCTTTCGGGCCCAAGCGTCTTCTTTTGATGTCTTCTCTGAATCTCCAGGTCTCTCTAGGCAGTACACGGAATTATCGCCAAATATTCCCTCTTCTAATCTCCTACTCATCAGGTTTCTTTGAAATGTGTACACAGCTTCCCTGATCTTCCGTTTCTTGATGTTTTCCGTTGCATTCCAGTCAATAGTGTGGCCAGTGATGGCGATGTGTTCAGCTAACTCCGATATTTCCGTATCCATTTTTCCGCATATTTGATGGTATTATTTGATTATTGTGCCGATTTTTCTTCCAGTCTCTGCTGTATTTCTGTTTATAGTCCCTGAAGTTTATGCTGTAAATTTCAGAGCAATCCATTTTGTTGACTTTTATGCTGGTTAGGCACGCTTATGAAGGGGGTTGTCCTTTCTTCAGAGTTGTACGAATGTTCCATTTGCATAGTATAGGCCGTGACTTCTAGCCGATTCACGGTATGGTAGACATATCCATCGTTTTTCCTCTGTTCCTCTTATTTTCGATTCAGAATCTCAGTCCAATCCGTACGTTGCGTTGCAAAGCTTCTTCTGGATATCCGTTTCCCAGACACATCTGAGTTAGTTTTTCCAGCTCCTCCTTCTCAGAACTCAGAATCAGTTAGTCGTAGGCTCTGTAGTATGCTCCGTAGTATTCCAATCTGCATTTCATAAGTACGATTATACTGGAAGTTAAGAGTCATTCCAACATGCGGTTTCTTTCGGAAAAATCATTTGATAGTTCTCTGAGTGATTGACCTCCGAGTGTATTCGTTCTCTTACACATTCATGATAAATTTGACTTTTTCATCGATTCCGTTTTTTAAGATCTATGTAGGGGTGTTTTAGGCCAAAAATTCTGTAGATTTAGGTCATCCTCCTCCTCAGTTCCCATATGCCGTTGTTAACTTCTGTGACCGAACACTACCCTTTTGCACTAACAACACACTCCATCATAGAAGTTGTTTGACCTTGTTTTCGCAACTTGGTCATATTGGTAGGAAGACTTAGAGGAACGTACCTAG